ACATACACACACACACACACACACACACATACACACACACACACACACACACACAGTCCCTGCCACCCCCCACCCCCCATTGTCAGGAGATCTGGGTTTTAGTCCCAGCCTCCAATCTCCAGGCACCCATGCTGTGAGACCTGAGAAAGTCTTTTTATGTGCCTCTGGCTCGCCCACTTCCCAGAGTCAAAGTAGGGTGAGTGAAAACAAAGATGAGTGCCCTGGCCAGGTTCCCAGAGGGGCTGTGCAGTCTCTCATCCTGGGTAGGTGCTCTGCCTGCAAGTCTCCAGTTCTCAGAGAGCTGCTCCTGGCGTGCTCCATGGCTCTACAGTCTTCTCCACCACCCAGCCCAGACTCATTCCGCGGGGTCCATCAGACGCCCTCAGAACACTGTACATTTCTCCCTCAGCACTTCACACCCAGGACCGTGATCGCTCCTCTTTCTGTCTCCAACACCAGCCGAGGACCACCGGGTCAGGCTCACTGTTAGACCCTGCCCCAGAATAGAACTTGGCACCCAGGGAATAAAGGGGCATTTGTGGGACCAATGAGTGAGTGAGGGGTGAAGTGAAGGAATGTGTGAACAACTGAACTGTCAGGTGCTCCGTAATTATCATTTTTGGATCTTACCTACAAATTCCCAGGAGATTTGATGAGTTTTTCACAGTATCTATTTAAAAAAAAAAAAAAAAAGGCTTGAATAGCTGGTTGTTAAAGTTGTAAATTCCTGAAGAGCTTTCCCTGGTGTGTTTCAGAAGAGGAAAAACAGGCACTTGGTTCTCTGTCCTCAGCTGTCAGCCCTGGCTCCCAGCTCCTTCCTCCCTGCCATCTCCTGATTCTGTCTGTATTTATCTCTCTTCCCTCTCTGTCTCTGTGTCCCTGTTTCTCTCTCTCCTTGCTGTCTCTCTGCCTCTATTATCTCTCTTTCACTATCTCTCTATGCTCTTTCTGTATCTCTTCTTCTCTCTTGTTTCCTCTGTCTCCCCCGACCCCCAACTCTCCTCCTTCTTGCATGTCCCACCTCTCCTCTCCCGTCCCTCCCTACCCTGGTCCTTGTGCATTGAACACTGTCCTTGTGCCCAGGCCTCTTACAGATGAGCTCTTACTTTCCGTCCCAACCAGCTGATGCTGCCTTCTGTTTCACTCTGAGAGAAACATCACTGCATCATGGCCAATCGCATGGGCTTTAGACTTGGGACAGATTTAGTTGGTTCCAAGCCCGGCTGTTCCACATACTAGCTGTATGCCTTTGGTCAAGGCACATACCTGGGGCCAGCAGGTGGCACAGCAGTTACATTGCTGGACTCCCTCATGGCTGAGTCCCGAACCCAGTTTGAGTCCCGGACCCAGTCACTTGAAAACCACGCCGGGTGAATATTCATGCATACCCAAGGAGAAGGGGGGAGGAGAGATTGCAGCATGGCCATCCTCCCTGGGGGATGATTTTTCACCCTTCTCCTCACTGCCTCTGTCTCTGTCTCTCTCTCTCTGGCTAATGCATGCACCCTAAGGCAAAAATCTCTACAAAAAAAGGGGACGAGGGACATAACTAATCTCTCGGACCCTCAGCTTTCTTTTTTTGTAAAATGAGGTAGGAATGCCCCTTCCAGAGGACAGTTACGAGGATTCAGTGAGACAGTGCTTTAATGCTTAGCACAGTGGTCAAACTCCATCAGGGCAAGTTCTCTTTACTATCATCCCGCTGTGGTGATGGCTTCTGTGTCACCTGCAAATGTTATTAACACCAGGAGGTATTAATAATCAAAGATGTGAACACCTCTGGACCGAGCATTTCCCCCCAAGGATCATTTCAGCCTCTCTCTCCCCTAAATATAAGAGACGGCTGTCCAGAGCCCAGTTGTTTTCATTTCTTTCTCTCTGGTCTTTTGTGCCCATCTTAACTTAAGTAGAACCTACCCGGAGGGAGACATTCCTAAGCCTAGCCTTCCCCAGAAATCATCCAAGGAGCTTTTAGCAAGCGTGAACATCTGGAGGGAGTTCAGGAGATTCTGATCATATAGGTCTGGGGTGACACTGAGAAATGGGTATTTTCTGATTGAAAAACAGGGAATCAAACTTCTAATCCAAACTGGGTATATCCTCGAATGAATGAATGAATGAATGAATGAGTCAATAAATGATAAAGAAAACAGCGCATGAAAGAATCAGTCCTAATAGGCCTACCTCCACGGAAAGAAATGCTGATACTTTCCCCCAGACCTATGGACTCCAAAAGGTGTGCCCAATTGCCCTGGGCTTTTCAGAACACAAACCTGGCTGCTTTCTTATTCCTTGAACTCCCTTTCCTCCCTGCACCTAAATCCCATCCCTTCCCTCTCCTGGTGTCTATTTTCTCCTCTCTCCTCTGCCCATTTCTTCCCAGTATCCCACTTTGCTCCCTCCTTTTATCTTTTTTTTTTTAATTTTATTTATTGCTCTTCTTCAGCTTGACCAGAGAGAGACAGAGAATGAAAGAGAGAGAGGGAGAGTGAGAAAGCAAGCCTCCAGGTCCGGGACTCATACCATGGTCAGTCATATAGGAGTCCAGTGCCCTAACCACCACGCTACCTACCCGGTCCCTTTGCTCCATCCTTTTAAGTCTTGCTACTCCCCCTCAGCAAACCTCCCTTGCTACTAAGACATCTGCCAACTGGGGGTTCTTTTGTGAAAAGAGGCTTTGAACACAAGTTACACAAAACAGTTTTATTTGATGAACCACAATATTAACAGGTCAGAAAACAGCACAGGCATTCTGCAAAGGGGGGCGTGGGAGGTGAGGGAGCATCATATCACGCAGCCTCCTCTGCCTCTGTCCAGAACACCACCAAGCTCCAGGCAGGAGGTCTTGTGGGTCCCCTAGGCTGGCCTCACTGGGCACCCTCTACCCTTTTAGAAGCCTCCCCTAGCCTTGTCTGAGTGCTTGGAGAACAGCTCTGGGCATAGAAAGTGGTTCTGGTTCATATTCTGGCCCCAGATGGGGAGCCCCATCCCTTCCCTCTGCCCCCAGAGCTGGCTCCATCCCAGGAATAGCCAAGATGCCCCATGCATCAAACCAGGCTCTTCTCATCTCCAACATTCATGTCCTGTCCATTTCCAGAGTCCCCTCAGAACAAAACTTGGAATCTCTCTTGCCCCCAGCTCACAAAAGCCCCGCGTCAGTCTCCAAGGCCACTGTGGCAATGCAGGTGTCAGACCATCAGCCTCTTCATAGCTGCTCCAGTCTCTATTCAGCCCTCTGCCCAGCAGGAGAAGCCAAGAAGTCCAATCTTGATGACGAGGAGAGAAAACCCACCCGGTGCCCTTCACCCCACAGAAAGTAGGTGGCCTCCTTTCAAGGAGGGCCGCTGACCTGAAAAAAGGAGAATGATGAGGAAAATTCTCATAAAACTCAAAGCAAGATGGAAGGCATGGGAAAGGAGCCAGGGAAACTCTTAACCAACTTCTTTTCCCTCATGAGACTGGAGAAGAACCCAGCTCGCTGGGATCCCCTAAGCCTAAGCACTAACTGCTTTGAAGAAAGATTTCCCCTCCAGGGAGCCTGACACAAACATAGACTTCTCTCTTCAAGCACGGACCAGCCGTCAGAGCCCCCAAATCCAGTGGGGGCAGACCAATCTTTCTATTACCTCGACATGTTCCTTCTCCCCTTCTGGGGTTTGAGTGAGAGAGGGAGGGAGGGGAATTTGTCCAAGTGGCATGGGCACACTGCTCTTTATGTTATGATCACCTGCATACACACACACACACACACACACACACACACGCACAGTCAAAACGCAAGCACCCTCACCCCAGCCTGAGTGAGTGACCCTTGCCACCAGGTAGTGCCAGCGCCCGAGAAAAACATCGGGGGATAATGGAAAGAGATGGGGAGACAGAAGAAACTGTAGTTCACAGTTCTGGAGGAGGTTAGAGAGATGAGGATTTCGGGAGAGGACCAAGTAGTGTGTAGACTAAATACAGACCTCCCCTCCCCTTTCTCTAGTTTCCTTCCAACTCCCCCACTCATAATGAAACCAGGATCCCGTCTGTTCATCAGCCCCATGTTTCAGTTCCCACAGATACTAGAGGAAGAATGAAAGGGACTGAAGAAATCTGTAGGGTGTTGGCATGACAGAGGGGCTGTAGGAAGGAGCGGGGGCTCTCTTTGGGGAACTCTCTAGCCCCAGTGCCTGAAATGACAACCAACTGACCCAATTTCAGAGAAAGTCCCGGCACACTCGATATTTGTTGACGTGCAGCACACCCCACCCCAGCCCATGCCCCAGCTGGCTCTCAGAAAGCAGGATAAAGAGCTCGAACAGGGTCAATCTTTGCAAGCTTCAGGATTCTTAACCCTTAGGAACCTGCAGAACAAGGAGATAAATGAGGAAGAAGCAGGCACAGAGAGAGTGGGTCACGCTGAAGGAGGGGAATCGGGACCAGAAGGTAAGGGTAACGTTACAGAGATAGAAAATCTAAAGGAAAATAAAGAAAAAAGGGCTAGAGATCTAAGAAAAGGGGATGGAGGAAAACCAACGTCGGGACTAACACGTCAACGTTTTAGGGCCGGTGTGACTTTCTCCCACTGTATACTAATGGAGAAGGCTCAGAGGGGCTAAGAATCATACCAGGTCAACCTCACAAATATTGACTGACTCAGCAAGGGTCTGCAGGGCTCCATCTCTTTCTATTAACCCACAAACCTCAGAGAAAGAATAAAGGAGGAAGAGAAGGACACGACAAGACAGGATGAGGTAACAGAAAAGGAGTGAGGTCCAAGGGAGAAGGTATAGCCACTACCTGGTCGTCAGAGCAAAGGCAAAGGCAGGGGCAGGGCCCGGGGCACCCAATTCTCTAGTCAACCACGAGGGTCTCTTGGCTATAAGGGATGGATTTCTCATGCGTCTGCTCTCCACCCTTCCCCATGTTGGGGCTGGGCCCCTGGCTGTGCCCCGAAGAGTAGCTGGCCGACTTCTCTCCGCTGCTGCTGTGGGAGGGGCCCCCACACTGGCTCTGTTTGCAGCAGAGCATGGAGGTGCAGGCCTGGCGGAAGCGGGGATCAAAGAAGGCGTAGAGGAAGGGGTTGAGGCAGCTGTTGACGTAGCTGATGCAGGTGCAGTACGGGAAGATGTTCATGAGGAAGATGTCGAATTCACAGGGCCAGTGCAGCAGGTTGCCCAACATGTAGAGCGTCTTCACCAGGTGGTAGGGCATCCAGCACAGGGCAAAGGTCACCACCAGCACCACGATGATGCTGAGCAGCCGGCGCCGCTTCCGCAGGCCCTCGATGCGCTCCTTGCGGAAGTGGCCAGCAATGGTTTGGGCAATGAAGAAGTAACAGGTCAGCATGATGGTGAAGGGCACCACAAAGCCCACAGCAGTGGAAGAAACTCCCAGACCCACCTCCCAGGCCCACTCTGAGGTCGAGGTGGCCACCATGGAGTAGTCCATGTAGCACTGCACTTTGGTGCTATTCTCCAGGTCCCTCCAGGTCCCAGTGGAACGAAACACCATGACGGGCATGGCCAGCAGGGCAGCCAACACCCACAGGACTGCCGTGGCCACAGTCCCACTGACCCGCAGTCGCAGTCGGGCATTGGCCACTGGCCTCACGATGGCTAGGTAGCGGTCGAAGCTGAGGCCGGTGAGACAGAAGACACTGGCGTACATGTTGACAAAGATGAGGTAGCTGCTGAGCTTGCAGGAGAAAGTCCCAAAAGGCCAGTCATAGTCCCGGTATGTGTAAGTGGCCCACAGTGGCAGGGTCACCACGAAGGTCAGGTCGGCCACCGCCAGGCTAGCGATGAAGATGTCAGCCGAGCGCCTCTTCTCCCGGCTGCTCCGAAACACAGTCCAGAGCACCAGGCCATTGCCTGTGGTGCCCAGGAGGAAGACCAACATGTAGATTACAGGGATGAGGGCTCCTGAAGACGTCCAGTCTGTGTAATCACAGTCCGACTGGTTGTCTGCCCCATAGTAGTTGTCAAAATCTTCCTCCATGCTGGGGAGTGGAGAGAAGAAGGGCAGGAGGTCCCAGGGGTACCAGCTCCGTGGCTCTGTCACCAACTCAACAAGCACCTCAAGCTGCTGGCTTGAGCCTCAGAAGGGCTGGAGGTGCCCAGAGCTATTCCTAGCATGCAAGAAGAGCTGCCTCTGAATTCTCAAGACCCTGGAGGACGCCTTTCTCCTGCAGACTTCCCTCCACCCTCTCCTGCCCTGCCCCAGTCTCAACTAAGACACTTCCTTGCACCCTTCGGAGTCTGTCTCCTCCTAGGCTCAGCACTCCCTCCTCCCACCTCCAGACCAAGCCCTCTCTTGTGAGTCTTAAGATCTGTAAGTTACAGCCCACTTTTTTTTTTTTTCCTTCTTGTCACTGGGCAAGTAGACCAGATTGACCCCTACCGTGCTGGGCAGAACCTTATCTGTGGGTGCAAACCTGCTCTCCTCCACCCGCCTCCTCCTTGGCTGTCACCCAATTTTGCCCCGCCTCTGTCCCTCCAGTTTTATCTAGCCACCACCTCATGCCTGCCATTTGCCACCCTCACTCCCTCCTCAATCCTCTCCACCCTCCTCGTCTCACCCCCTCCCATCCCCTCCAAATGGAATCATGCAGATTGAAATCCAGCCTGAGCTGGAGCCAGGCTGGGCAGGGGGCAAAGAAGGTGTGAGATTTCCCAGGACAGTCTGAGCATCTGGCAGACCCTCCTGGCAGTCAGTGGGGTCCCCTCCTCTCTTGCACTCCTGTCCCCTACTCTGACCAGGCTTTGCAGCAGGACCCAGTTCCTACTCTTGCCCTCACTTCATTTGACTCCACTCTGTCTCTAAGTACTTTTGTGGTTTACAGACACAGGATAAGGAGACTTCCCTAGAATTCACATGTTGTTGGCAGATTGCATCTAGTGATTTGCATAGCAAGTTTGAGAGGGTTGAGAACAGAGCTCAGGATGAAAGAAACCCAGGACAAAATTATCTCTAATCAAGTCATTAAATCTATGGGGAAACTGAGACCCAAGAAGGTTAAATTTGCCCAAGGTCGCAGGGTAAATTTTGTCAAGATCGATTATTTGCTTTTCTTCTTCTCCAAGCTCACACATGGAACTCAGCATTTGGCATGCAATAGGTGATCACTAAATCGTGGCTGAGTAAGTGAATGGATGAAGGAATGAATAAAAAGAGGAATATATATATATAATTTGCTATAGGGCGTATATGCTCTCCAGAGAGACAGAGAGAGGGAAAGTGAAAAATCACCTGCCCTCAGAGAGATGGGCACACAGCAATCCCTCCTCCTCTGTTCTTCCCTTCAGATTTTGGGCATGCATGCATAGATGCCCAACATGTTTTCAAAGTCTCCAGGTCCAGGATTTGAACCACAAAGTCAGACATGTGATCCAGCCACTTGAACCTCCATGCCACTTGGCTGGTCCAAGAGTTGATATTTAGAGAAATGAGTATATGAATTACTATGTGGTAAGAATATGGATCGTTTTAATCCTCAGTTTCTTACTGCTCTCTGTGAACCAGGAGGTTTCTTTTCTTTCTTTCTTTTCTCATGTTTTTTTTTTTAGAGAGAGATTTTTTTTTTGCTACAGGGCACGTGCACTCTCAGGAGAGAGAGAGACAGAAAGTGAGTGCGGGGGGGGGGGGGGGAGGGATGGCCACACTGCATCCTTTCTCCTGCATTCTCCTCGGGATTTTGGGCATGCATATAAGACCAGCTTGAGTTTTAAGATCTTGAGTCCAGGACTCAAACTGGGAGTCCAGCGACATAAGCATGAGGCCATCTGCTGGTCCCAGACCAGGAGGTTTCTTTTTTTTTTTTTTTTTTTTCCATTACAACTTGTTTTTATTTTACATTTTTCCACAAACATTTACTTTACATAGCAAAGAATTTTAGCTCATACTCCATAATTCTTGACAGTTTACAAACAACTTTCAAAGTTTCAAAATACTGAATTTTAAAGATAATGTTCAAAATATGGTACAAAAGATGTCTTATAACTTTGTATAATTTTTAACTCTATAACAACAGAAGCAGTATGGTTTCAAATATATATATATACATTTAGAGTGCAGACACTCGGTATATATTAAGTGGGGACATACAATGCCTCTCCTTCATAGCATGGCTTGCTTCACTCAGCAGTAAGTCTTCCATATTCATCCACTTCTTTTCAAAAGCCAGGGTTTTGTTGCAGACCAGGAGGTTTCTATCATACCATGTGAGGTCAGGAACTTGAGCTGGGAAAGGTAGGCAGCCATTGGGTGGATGCTGTGGGCTCAGAACCACAGAAATTCACTTTACCCATCTGGTCTCCTCTCTGGGACATTTAGGCAGGAGGGAGGAAAGGATTCATATAAGATTTTTAAAAGAAAACACAAGCAAACAAAAACACACTTTTTACCATTTCTGAGAATGGGGGAGGCCACCTAAAGTTGGTCAGGAGTGAGAAGGAGCAAATCCAGGAGATAGTCTTAGTCATTTCCAAGACAAAAGACTCACAAAGTTAGACTCCATTGTCCAGAAGGAGAGTTGGCCAAAAACCCTTTTGCAGGGATCTTAAAGCAGAGATTCCAGGGACCAGCAGTTGGCATAATGGCTATGTCGCTGGACTCCCATGTAGTCAACCATGGTTCGAGTCCTGGACCTTGCGGCTTAAACTTTTGCTGGGTGCGTGTGCGTGTGTGCCCAGGATCCCAAGAGGAGAATGGAGGAGAAAGGATTTGGGCATTGCCATTTCCCCGGGGCGGGGGGTGATTTCTCGCTTTCTGTCTCTCTGTCTCTGTTTTCTGGCGAGCGCATGCGCCCTGTAGCAAAAATCTTTCAATAAAAAGCAGAGATTCCAAACTCAAATATCCACAATAACCAGCCCGGAGTACATGTAGGTAAAATGGTCAGTCTGGAACAAGAGTAAGTAGTGAAAACTATGACAAGCTGGAGCATTCACACTCCCTCGAAAGGAGGGCAAGGTCACCCTGGCTAGGCGTTGTCAAAGCCAGAATACAACCAAAGCTATCTTGAACCCATGGCAAGCCATTATGCCCCCAATGAAAAACACTCCACGCTTATAAATGAGGAATGGAGTTGTCATCTTTTAAGCATTATAGGGATGTAGGATGGTGCTAAGATACCGATAACTTCCTTTAAAATAAGCTTTCTGGTTGCCATAGGAAATGTGAACTCTAGCATTGCCATGCCTTAGGATTTCTCAAAATAATGTCAAATTCTGTATTTTTACAAGAAATTTCCAGTTTTGTAAATATGAGAAATTAATTCCATTTACAAAAAAAAAGATAGAACAAGTAAAACATGTCCTCGGGCCCCCAGCTGGTGCTCTTTGAATAGGAGCTTGCAAAAGATAGAAAGTGGGAGGACAACAGAGAAGACAGGCCAGAGGAAGAAATAAAGACAGAGAAATGAACACGAGGGCAGTCAAAGTCTTTGGATGCCGTGGGGAGACACAGAAGAGAAGGCTGGAGATACAGATGAGAAAGCTCCTGGGAACCTCGGGTGGCCGCTCCCTAAAGGCAGTGTGGAACAAGGAAGGTGAGGCTGTTCACGAGGGTTACGTGCTGCTCGCCTTTAGTTTATCCACTTCCTCCAGGACATAAAGAGAAAGACGGGCATGTCAACAGGGTCCTCACAGTGCAATCCACCCCCAGCCACAGTCAGCCTGGATTAAGAGCATGCTTACACGCACCCAGCGCATTCGGGGAGACCCCTGGATACAAACCAGGGATCTTCTTAAATGGGTCCAGTGTGTCACCATCGTTCCACTCTCTGGTCCTTCAAGTTCTCTTTTAATCATCAAAACAATGTTAGTATGGGACCAGCAGTTAGCGTAATGGCTGTCGCTGGATTCCCATGTAGTCGACCGCAGTTCACGTCCCGGACCCAGTGGCTTAAAACTCACGCCGGGCGCGTGTGTGTGCGTGCCCAAGATTCCAAGAGGAGAAAGGAAGAGAAGGGATTGCAGCGTGGCCATCCCCCCTGGGCGGGCGATTTCTCGCTTTCTATCTCTCTGTCTCTCTCTGTCTGTCTGTCTGGCGAGCGCACGCACCCTGTGGCAAAAACCTCTCCAAAAAAAAAAAAAAAAACAATGTTAGTATGTAGGTACTTTCATTAGTGTCAGTTTGGAGATGAGAAAACTGCAGTACAGAGAGGTAAATTAACTTGGCCAGAGTCACAGTGCGAGTAATTGTCAAAGCTAGAATTGAACCAAAGCTATCTGGAGTCCATGGGCTAAACCACTATGCTCCACACTTTTCAAATGGGGAAAGGGAGTTGTCAGCTGTTAACCATTATAGAGAGAGAGGACGGTGCTAAGATACCTGTAATTTACTTTAAAATAAGCTCTCTTGGGTGAGACTAAAAATAGATGGACTATTTAGAGACACCCCCATCTTTGATTAGGCAAGATATAAGAATCCTGCCAGGCAAGCATCTGAACCCTGAGGGTTTGCTCCACAGACTAATCCAGAAATCGCCCTGTGTCCGGCCATGGCCAGAGACGATTCCTGGCTGCCTAATGCCAGCTGGGAAATTAACCAGCCACTGCCTCTGGAATCCTGGCAGTCTGCAAAACAGTAGCCAGGATACCTAATGGGACCCAGAGTAGAAACTTTAAGATCTCAAAGTACATAGCATAGGGGGGACCAGCAGTTAGCATAATGGCTATGTCGTTGAACTCCCATGTAGTCGACTGCAGTTCGAGTCCCAGACCCAGTGGCTTAAATTCACACCGGGCGCGTGTGCGTGCGTGCCCAAGATCCTGAGAGGAGAATGGAGGAGAAGGGCAATGAAGGATTGCGGCATGGCCATCCCCCCTGGGGGATGATTTCTCACTTTCTCTCTCTCTCTCTGTCTGTCTGGCGAGCACGCCCTATAACAAAAAAAAAAAAAAAAAAAGGGCCAAGCGGAGGAACTCTCTGGGGCCCGCTTG